CAGTACCATAGCAGTGGCAGCCAGCTGAACTTGAGATGGCAGCAATCTGATGTATCCCCATCACCAACTCAGTGATTCACTAATTAATTTCACTTTTTTTTTTTTCCTTAATTGTATCTACTGTCACCATCCTACAGTTCAAGTCTGAGGAAGGAGAGAGGAGGGTAGAGAGAGGGGGAAAGACACCAGGCACTAGAAGGTAACATCTGTGTAAAGATAGCCAGGAAATTCATTCAAGGCCATTCTGCATCAAGTGGTGTGGCTGTATCGAGGGGCACTGACACAGATGTGAATAAGAACAGTATTTAAATGATGAGAACAAGTAGAACAAGTAGTTTGGGAAACAAAGCTGCATCTCTTGTGACCAATTTAGGGACAAGGAAAAAACACAGTGATACAAAACTGCAGCATAAATCTTCTATTCCCTGTTCTTCAGCAGGTCCAGACAGCTGTGGGCCTTCCACCCAGGAAATGAAGTGCATTGATGGCATTTTGTCCCATCACAACACATGAACAAACCAGAGCAGTGCACATGAAAACAAGGCAGAGCTCAGCCTTCTCTTACCCAAGAAACAACTTACTGAGACATTTTCTACTTAAAAGGAATGTGGTGGAGAGCTGGTACTACCAGGCTAAAGAACAGATGTTCCACCAGGGACATGGCAGCTCTGCTAAGGCGTTAGAGGAAAGAATCAACCTCAGGAACTGCTCCAGCCACTGGACATTGCCTGGTTTTGTGCAGTAGTCCTTGTCCCCTGCCCAGCAGTTATCACAGCCATTTAGCCTACTGGAAAAGGAAAGAGGTCCAAAATACCACTCAGCACTGAGAGGATAATGGAAAACCATCTCCATCTCCTGTTCTGGCCATGTGACTGATGTGCAGCACAATCATCTTTGAAAAAGGATCATCATTGGAGAATTGGAAAAATGCAATAGGCTGAGTCAAAGTGACTCACCCACATAAGAAAAGTTTGACTGGGCTCCAGCTCAATTTGTGAGCCTGGACTTGATGTTCAGAAGACTGTGTAAGATGCCTGATGTTACAGCTAACATTAATTTCTTAAAATTAAATTTAAGTCCATGTATGAAGCAGAAGCAAAAAAAGACATGGTATTTTTCTTTCTAGAATAGTGGGATGTTTTGTGTTCTTGCACTGCTGTGCTTAGTTGACACTGGAAGCTCTTTGCAGAGTTTGCCATGTAAAAAGATACAAGTTTTTGTAGTGACTGCTAAAGCCTTAGAAACTTCATTCTTGTGCCACTTGAAGTAAATTTAGCCTGAGATTTTTGTTCCACAATGATTCTCATGGGCTCCAAACTCCAAACTTACCATACTAACAATAATCTTGAATGTCTCCAGACTCTACCCACGTTCGTTGTTAACCTTCAGTCACAAAGTAATGAGATGCATCAGACATCGTCAGGCTGGCCTAAGGGGTTGCAAATTTGGATGAGGGCCACACACTGTACTAATTGCTTCTAATAAATTACATATTTCAGGAGGGACATCATGATTTTAATCATTTATTCTGCATGTTGTTTCCTTTGGAGAGAAGAACAAGCAGGCACTAAACAAGCAGAGCATCTGAAATTCATGGCAGGAGCTAGAAAGAGCTCATTTAATATCAACCATCATTGTAAGTACTAGAATTATGCATGTATCAAATCCCTGGGTCTGAACACTTTGGGAAAAGCCAGTGAGTTCTGGTTGTTTTAATGACTCAAACCAAAATAACGTCTTTGAATGTTCCTTAGATTTATAAGAGCTCTGATTTAATCCCATTTCAAATCTTGTAGCTGGGGCCTAGCTCAGGAAAAGACCTTTGTTTTTATGCAAAGAAAAATACATTAGGAGAGGAATTTAAAGCATTTATTTCCCAAAAGGCTGAGAAAGAAAACAGTAAAATGTATCTCTTACTTGTGTGGGAATGACTTTAATTATGATTTGATGTCTCCTCATTGCAAAGGTGGTCCAGTGAACACAGACAGCTACAGTAACTTTCTTTAAAGCCTGCTGAAGTTAGCAGGATCTTGATCTGATCTAAACAGCCTCTAGCAGAGTGAACTAAGATGAGTGAAGTTTTCCTATTTCCCTGCCCTCTAGCACATCCAGGCTAGTAGACTCACTGCTAATGAAATCCTCAAATCACTTGGGAACCTGCACTTCCTTCACAGGGGTTGTTTAAATAGCCACTAGTATTAATAGCAATAGCTGGGAGATAATGTGGGATTTGGGACCTCCAGGGAGCAATGCAGGTTTGGGAACAGCTCAGGCTGTCTCCTGTTATTCTTTGTAAACCTTGCTTCCTGCCACTGCCCTCTGCATTTCCTTCCAAGAATGAGCTGAGCTACCAAAGCAAACATGACTGCCTGGGTGAAAGGAAACCTGCCTGAGCACAAAGCATGCCCTGGCATGGAGAGCTGCAGCTCTGAGACTCAAATGTGCTCTTCTGATTTTCAAGTGGTAATGAGACACCAAGGAAGCACCTTTACCTGGGGTGAGTGCAATCCTGCACTTCTGCCTTGGCAGTCTAAGATGCCTTCCCTTGGTCCCTCTCTATCTGGAAGGGTTATCATCCCATTTTAGACTTCTCTGGCAAGTGTGAAGGTAAAAAATAAGCCTCCAGCAAGACTTCCAGGGGCTTCTCTAGCCCACCAAGCAGAACGATGAAGGCATTTCTAAAGATGCTGTTTGTGCTTTGAGGGGTGGATGGACCTTTGTGCTAAAACAACTTGACATCTACTTTGGAAAAGGATCAAAGGATTCTTCTTGGTTTTGTCATACAGAAGAAGAACAAGAAGTAGATTAGTAAATAGGAAAAAAAGGCCTTACACATTGAGAACTGACTGGAAAAGATTGCCCAAGGCAAAAGTGGTGACTATTCAAATTGCAAAACATTCCTGTGGTTGTTTTTATGGTATTTTTCATAGGGAGGTTCAAGCCAACCTTCACACTTGAAGAAGACCTTAAAGGATGAGAAAATTTGAAGTTCAGACATAAAAGCACATGAGTAACAGAAGAAAAATTGATGCAAAGAGGGGAACTACAGGTGATGAATCCTCAGTTAAGATTGCTACTTAACATAGAAAAAAAACTATGACAAGAGGTGAATCACAACATACAGAAAATAGAATGGAGTCATTTGATGCAATCTTCAGATACTGACTTTTGCAACATTGTATGCTACATACCAGCATGGAATTCAACACTAGTGAGGCAGGTTAGGAAAGAAATATTCATGAAAGCAAAATGGAAAACCTCTTTGACATCCATTAGGTTTGGTAATATAACACTAAGAAGCACACCGTGCCCAGCTGTTACCTGGTTGGCTGGCTGAGTCCCTCTCCAGATTACTACTTAAATCAATAGCTCTCACATTGATTTTTCCAGCACACTGTATTCCAGTAAAAAGAACAATGCTCTGAGATGAGTCAGCTATTTACTCTGTCTGTAGGAACTCTGGTGTGCTTTTGTTTAGGAAAATAAAAGCAGGAGCCAAAGTACACAGAGATATACAGTAATAAGAACCTGCCTGTTGCACCACGTTTGCTACAGCTTGCTGCAGCAGCCACAACCCAGCCTGGAGCTAGAGGAAGCTTCTATAATGATGAAACTGAAATATTTGGGGATGGTCTTAGACAGAAAATGTTGATTTTTAGTTTAACAAGTGCAATGGCAGAAGGAAAAAATATGCCCCCATATATATCAAAGAATAGAATCACAGAATCATAGAATGGTTTGGGTTGGAAAAGACATTAAAGATCCACTCATTCCAGTCCCCCTTCCATGGACAGGGACACCACTCACTAGACCAGGTTTTCCAGAGGCCCAACCAATCTGGGACACATCCAGGGATGCTGAGGCATGCAGAGAGGAGAGGAGCCATGGGGACCTGTTTTACACTGCACTTCATTTGCACAGCACTTAGTTTAGGCTTGCAGAGCAGAATAATACAGCAGTGAGATCAATAGGTATTGCTATCCATGCAAAGCATTTTCCTTCCAGAAAAAATATTGAAATTGAACGTCATAAGATTATTTCTAATATCCAGTATACAAACTTCAGCCTATTTTGGCAAACAGAGTCTTGTGTGGCAGCTGTGATATTGAGTGATATTTTATTCGAGGACAAGTACTAGAGAGCTGCAGCTACAGAATGAGATACATAGAACTGGCTGATGTGGTAGATTGCCTCGTGACAGCAGCAGTATTTCACACAACTAATCAGATATCCCAGGTAATAAACTGTGTTAAGCAGACAAATGGAAATTTACATATTCATTGTCTATCAAGAGACACCTGGCAGGATGGCCTTTAGACTGCAGTCTGAAAATAATCCTGCTCTGAAAAGTGTCAGTCAGAAGTGCTGGTGAATCACCTCAGATCTTGCTTCACTGCAATCACCATCCAGTCAAGTTCTGTTCAGAACTACATAAGAAGCAAGGTCTAAATGTAGCTATTTTGATGCCAGGTGATATTCCTGCTGCTTTTGAACATATTCCTTAAAAGCATCCCTCAAAACTTTTATCAAGACTACTCATTTTTCCTTATTTCCCAAGAAAGTCTTCACACACCCTACTGTCACATACCCAGACCACGGTGTTGGTTGTTCTCCTTTTCACAGCTGCCTGGAAATGAGAGGCAGAATATGGGGGAGTGGTTGCAAATAAGAAACAGAAAACTCTACAGGGCCAGCACCAATAGAATTTACATATTCAAGAAGCTCTGTTCATAGCTTGGCATTGAATTGTCTGTTATAGCAAACTAATCAAAGCATAAAAACTCTTTTTTTTTCCCCTCGCACAAATAAATTTGCAACTGCAGCAGGATTCAGTGCTGAGGCTGGAGGGCTGGTCAGCCCCAGGCAGTGGGCAGTGCCGGGCAGTGAGAGCAGAGGGCGAGGGCAGTGATGGCCGGGCAGGAGCCTGTGGCACTGCCCTGGTCCCCCAGCAGGGCAGCCCCGAGGCAGGGCAGGGCAGGGCCGGGGGGAGCTGACAGTACCTTTGAGGGCAGGAGGGGTGAAGACGCTCTGCTTCCTCTGCTTGGGAGAGGCGCTCTGCGACTGCAGGGACAGACAGAGAGGACAGTGAGACACGGCACAGACAGAGATTTCTGCTCCTGGCAGCTCCCTGTGCACCCACCTGGGTGATCTCACAGAGCTTCTGAGAAAAACACACCGTGTACAACTGATGCCAGCTCCTGGGCTGTCACGTACACAGGATAACTAAGACAAAAACATGTGTTTAATGGACAACCTTTATGACTCGCAGGCAAAACAGACCCAATACTACTGAAAATTACCCTTCACTCCATACAAATATTGTTAAACATAAAATTAGGATAGCCTGTGCTTTTAACAGCCTGTGTAATTTATTCTCTTACGGTAAATTAATGTATATATATTAAAATAGTTGCAAGGTTTTCATTAGCCAACATTCCAATTACAGTGAAATCAGTGATTATGTGCATGTGTAAGGGTAAGGTACTACTGAAATATTACTATACACATTTTAATATAAATAAGTGGAAAATCCCTTCCCCTGTACCTTTTCAATGTGTTCTATTAAACCCAAGATAATAATTTCAGCAGCCAATCACTCAGCCTTAAATGCTGAGCCTCATTTAAATGCTGTATTAAGTTAAACTTTTTGTGGCCCCAAAATTGCATCTATGCACAAAAGATAAATTATTCCAAAATAATGACAGTAAAATTCACATAGAGCAATAATAGTACTATTTTATTATACCAATACACATAGAGTAATAATGGTATTACTACATTATATCAATGTTTAGTTAACAAAAACTAACAGGAGTATATTCAGTGCTAAAGCAGAGCAGCTTTTGCAAAATGAAAGCAGCTAAATTGGTGTCAATATTATACCAACATGAATTATGTCTACATAAAAAGGACAAAAATCCTCATAGAGTACACCCTCTGCTAGCTTTGGAAGACATAAGCACCATAACACACTCCTAACCAAAAAGTTAAGGAAAAACTGTGTTTAACCAAGCTTTTTTTCCCCCTCTCATTTTATCAATTTCTAGTTGTAGTAATGTTGTTGCCTTTACCCAAACATTTGCTAAAAATGCCTAATATATACACCATGAATTTTAATCAGATCTATTTCTTCATGGAACATTTGAGACATGTTTCACACAAGTAGGGCTAATCCTATTAACTTAGCTTATAACAGTGGATAAATGATAACATTTATAAATAAAATATTTTCTTCTTTGGAAAGAGAAAGCTATTTATAAACACTATGGGATAGCTTGGTGAACCTCATGCCAGTAAATCTTTACATGTTTGCATTGGAGTTCAAATTTGAACCAATCAATACCTCCTGCTGCTATTTAAGGTGCTGCCCGCTGCTCTGAGCAGGGGGTGAAGGAGAAAGAGATCAGGGAATTGCAGGAACCATGCAAGGGGAGGTTAGAAAATGAGATCAGAGGAGCCAGCTTTCAACTCTTGTGCAGACAACATGACTGCACTGCCTGCTGTAGGCTTGACAAGTGATGGGCAGAGTGGAGAGGAGTTTGTGCCCAGCAGTGAGCTGCAGATCCACAGCATCGGTTGGGTGGGGTGAGCTGGCCGGGCCACCTTGGCTTTGCTGTGCTTTGACAGGGCATGGCAGCGGGCAGAGGGGAAGCTGGCCTCTCCCAGGTCCCTGCTACAGCTTTACACAGCCCTGCTTTGAAAATGATGGTTCTTAAAAGGCTGTGTTACTGCAGATGGCATGACAATGTAAATAAAAGTGTCCACCAAGATGAATCAGTGAGTTTCCAAGAGTTTTTAACCATCGAACTATTTTAACAAAAAGTATGTTTAAAAAAATAATTAAATCACTTACCTCTGCCTGTGAGATGTTTGTTCTCTTCTCATCTTTTTCTAGAGAAAAACGTATGAAAAGAGAAAAGTTAGTACAGAAGCATTTCTCAGGGCTAACATTTGTAACTCTGCCATGAACCTACAGCACTGCTGTAAATAAGAACTTGACCTTCTAATTTACAGCTTTTCTTTCTCATTTGTGTGTCTCAGAAAGCCAGAGGCCCTGATTAGCATTTAGACATAAGCACTGCATGTGAAGCACTTAACTCCCATTTTTGTCTGTGAATAACAGTGAGCAATGGAGCTCCTTCAGCAGCAGGTCCTTTGTCCTGGCTGGCAGCAGGGCCCTGCAGCTGGGGCTGTATCAGGGTACAGAACTGCTTTGCCCAGGCACTGAGCTTTCTTCTACGGTTGGCAAATGGTGTGGAGCAAACCCACAAAGGGTTCTACTGCTCCCAAATAATAAAAAGAACCTCACCTCAGGTAAGCTATTAATATACCAATACTGGTGCTGAAAAGTGCCTTGCAGTAATATGTAGAATTAACAAAACAAAGCTTAACAAAGAGCGATCTTTCACCTTAAAAAATTTATGACATTACCAGACTGAAACTTTTCCTAAAACATTTTACTTTTGTTGCCTTAATTTGCTTTAGACTACATGTATGGCAGAATTGGCAGAACTTGAGGCTTCTATTAAAAATAAGTGCCTCTGAGAATCTGTATGAACAACTATGATTGTATGACACAGAGGAGGCTCAAGGTTCTTCCTAACCATGGCACATAACCAATTTTTGTATGAGCTAAATTATTTGGATGCTGTTGTCTTCATGTGGTTAATGGCCAGAATGTATCTGTCTTCTGCTGATGATTTCACAAATATTTGACAAAGATCATGCAGGATATTTAATACACAATATTTTGGAGTCCTAAAATAAAATGTCATTAAAAACATAGACAACAATCTCTCACTGTTGCAATGGGCCTTCTAAAATTTTCCACTGGCAGGTATCTGTGTAATTTTATGTGTAATAAACCGAGGTGGGACCTCAGATCTGTAACCACAGGTCTAAGCAAAGAATTAGGCCTAGGCAATATAATTTCATCTGACTTATTCTCTAGATATTGGCCTCTTGTGGTGTGCTGTGTATGAGGGGACAAGCCAGTCCATGCAGCTGGATCAATCGCATTTTCTATTGCATTCTTTACCATTGTCTCTGTGCATCTTGCAAACATTAATTGATTAACCAGATTTTTCAATATAAGTATTTCCCATTATCTCTCTCTGAAAGATATTCAAATCACTAATACTCAGGGTTAAAAAGTGTAGTTGAAAACAGGGCTGATTACTAAAGCATGATCCCACAGATACAGAATTAGACAAGACAATCAGGAGTTTCCTGCCATTGACATTTGCGTGAACTTTGGCAAGGTCGCTGATCTCCTCCTGGACTTCCCTATCTGTAAATAAGTATAGTAATGTCTATTTCAGTATAGAAGTGTCTCTTCCAGCCCATAAAACCCTTTGGGCTATGAAGTCAGGCTGGTTAAATGGGTGATTATTCATGTGCTTGCAGCCTTTCTTACTGGTTGCATACCAACACATCAATTAGTCAACATTAGACTTTTTTTATTATTCAGGATACTGGATTTAGCTTAAATGCTGAAATTTGAATAAATCAGGGTCTTTCAGCAAAGAACAATGAAGACTAAGTTACGTCCCATTCCTTCCTGAAAATCTAAATTTGCCCAGATTAAAAATATATTTTGTGAACCCAAGCTGATTCTTGCATAAGGAACAAAAACTGACATCAGTAGCTTTGTTGTGTTTCAGGTCTCAAACCTGAGAATGTGCACAACTCCAACCCTTTGGGCTCTCGCATTTAGTGTTCTGAGTGATGTGACATTAAAATTGTCAGAACTGCAACATTTACAGCCTTTCCCTTCACCCAGCAGCCTTTAGAAGACAGGCAGCTTTGGGAATAAGGATTGGTCCTGTATGGAGTTAGAGAGACCATTCATATCCACAGGGCAAATAGCGCCAATGAGAAGCATCAGATAATATGGACAACCTGTAAAATCACATAAACAAACTATTTTCCAAATCAGTAAACAGAGATTGGAAAGCAACCTGAGGGACTGAAAGATACAAACTCCAGGCAGGAGCCATGAAGTGTTTCAGGTGAGTTGTGGGATGAAGGAAAGCTGGTTGGAGATGAAGTTTGGCCAATGGCACATTTTGGCACCAGTTTCTTTTTGAGGACAGAAGGAGAATCACATGCTAATTTTTGACAGGTGTTTTGATGGATAAGACTCAATCAAGAATGTAGATTTTTAAGGAGAGGTGACAAGGAATGGGAACAAGGGAAGCCTAAATCTCAGAATGCCATACAGAATGCCATAGACTGAGGCAGAGAGGATAAACAAACAAACCCTCTATGTATAGAGGGTGAGGAGGAAAAGAAAGGCAAGGGGAACATGGGAGGAAGATAGAAGAGCTTGTGAGTAACTGAAGTAGTAATAAGAGACAGGAACATTGTACTCAGAGTAAAAGGGGAAATTTAGGGATGACAGAGAGCAGAATTGGAGCGCAGTGTGGGCTGGACCACAGTCAGGAGTTCTCTGACTGGCCATAAACTTGGAGGCATCTTCATCTAACTGAAGGATTACATTAATAATTGTGTGAACACTCTTCCTTGGACAAAGAGGCATTTTCCAGTGTAACTTATAATGCTTTATAATGTTACCTTATAACACAGTTTAAATTAGTTAAAGAAAGCATGTTTTTACAGCAGTCTTACTAGGCACATCCCCCAGCCCAGCTGGTCTAAGAGCTGAGCTCCTGTCCTCATCTGAAGGCAGAGAGGAGCCCAGAGGAAGGAGGCTGATTGTGGCTGGAATGAAATCTGCTTGGTGGTGCAGATGCCTCCTTCCACGGATCTTCCCTGCTGTGCAAACATCGTGTCCGTGCTGGGGGAAGCTCTGTGGTTGTTTTAGAGTGAGATCAAAATTCATCTGCCCTGCTTGTCCCCCTGGACAATGTTAATGCACTCAGAGCAGCCACGCAGGGTGAGAGGTGACCTGTTTGAAAGGAGCTGCCCTCTGATGTCACCCGTGGGCTCTGCAGAGGTCTCATCCAGCAAAGGCTTACCTCATCCAGCTAAGTACCCTGCTTGCTGTCCCCTCAGCAAGAGCAAATAAAAGCCTTTTCTATGGGGATTCAGTCAGGCACTGGAGAAACAGAACGGGTCAGAGAGGCCAGTTTTGACACAAAAGAAACTCAGTAAGAGGCTGGTATAATTGTTGGAGAAAGTTTCTTGTAGAGAGTTTGGAATTTTCTTTGGGAAAACATAGCTGAGCAGATAAAAATCACATGGGGTTGATAGATTTGGACTCAGGCAATTTTAGAAACTAAAACCAGAAAATAATCCTTCATTCTCCTGCCATTTTGTGGCAGAAGAAGATGAAATTTTCTAAAAATTATCTTTCAGCCATTTCACATTTCAATTTTTCCATCAGTAAAAGAAAATAAATATTTTTTGATCTTTCAGTTTACCTCACTGGTGTTTGACCACCACGATCTGTATTAGTCATTGGTATTTGTAAAACAAGCTCGCTGAACTCTGATTTAGAAATTGACTGACATAATATTTGTTTTTTCTGCTATCACAACCACTTTTTCTTTCTTCTAGAAGACATAACAAGATCAAACAGTATTTAATGCTTTCTTTTTGCCAGACTCCTAACTACATATTGCCACATCAGCTAGCATCTCATTGCTTTTTACTAAACCGCTGAGGTAGGAAAAGGAAAAAAATTCAGAAAAGACCATCATACAAATGCTCACATAGCTAATTGTTTGATTTTCACTTGCTGGCTTTTATTTGCCAGTGTTTATCAATGTGAACTTGACTACAGGTTTAGATGTCATTACATTTAATTACAAAGAAATATCCTGGTAAGCCCTCCTGGAGTGAGTTTGTGTTTCTGAGAATATTCCCATTGCAGAGCAGCTCATTAGCTGCCGAGTGCAGCTGCTGTGGCAGCTCTGCTCCCTCCTCTCTGCAGTGCTGACAGGAGAGAGCTGCTGCTGCTGCATCCCACTCGCTCATCAGCATCTAAATTACTGCCTGCCCCTTCAGGGAGCACTAATAACAGGATTTGTACAGCAAGCATTAATGAAAACATAGGGCAGAGAGGAATTTGCCATCCACAGAGGCATTTGCCTGCCTATCTGCCCTGTCAGGAGCTTGCAGCTCAGGTGTGTAGCTTGGGCAAGGTCCCACACTGTGCTGACAGTGCTGTCACCAAGGGACCTCCTGTCCCTCTGTCCCAGAGATCATAGCACAGCTTTTCCCAGCTAGCTCCTGTCTGTAACCAGCCCCTCATACTTCATTAAAATACTGCAGGCCAAATGAATCTGCTCTTTGGACATTTACATTTCTTTTCCCAGGTAAATCAGCTTTCTAAACAACCCTGTATTTCCCACCTTCAATATTCAAGTAGTAATTACTAGTACTGAGAGTAGGGGCTGCAATCTCCTTTGTTAGACCAAATCCTTCCTCATGGTGCTCAAAGTCAGCCACTAAATGAGAAGAACAATCACTGTTTTCCTCCGGATGCACACAGCAGCATCTGATTCAAACATCTCTGATCATACAGACTATAAGAACCCACCTTAGGCTGCACAGCCATAAGAATATGAAATAAAACCACCTTTCACAAGCTACACAGATAAAAAATTCTTTAAAACTTGCATTCTGGTAAACATAATCTATTTTGGAAGAAGCTGGAGACATTACAAACCCCAAATGTGAATCTGAATGTATTTGTTTACATCACATGATTCTCAGAAAGGAATAATACTGCCTGATTCACCACCTTGTTATTCCAGCTTCATGCCAGACTCATGGAAATCAGTCTCATTTCACTGGCATGAAACTAGAATACAAGAGTGATGAATAAGGTCTGCAGTCTTACCACAGAGCAATCATGAATTATTACAACAAGCAAAAAAAATCATCCTTCTCCTAAGTATTTTTGTTCCAAATTTTTCATACTC